CTTTCACTGTGCATCCATGCAGCACATAACACAGTAGGGCCCTGATCTGGGATGGAGCCTTTTTTGCATCACTATTACCAAGAAATAACACATTCACATATAAACTGAAAAGAGAAGTCTTCTTGATTGAGCAACCTAGTATGCAACTAATCTGATGATGCTGGTAAGGTATGCTACCTTATGAATATTAGAGCAAAATATCCTAACTCAGACTCAGCTAAACAAACTCTGAAAACTGCATTACCCTGACCCTATTTCTATTAATATGAAATTCCCCCTTCCCCACTCCAGGATTTTGTGTCTGTGAGCTGCTAAAAAAGCTGTTGTGTCCCATCACACTGCATGTTGGTAATGCCAGAAAGTGTCTCCTTATACTTTATTTTGGCTTCATTTGGGTGTAGTGGATGGAGATTAGCTCCAGCATCCACATTTTTCTTTTAAAGCTCCAGCATCCACATTCTTCTTTTAAATACTTTCAGATTTATGACATTTCTGATCTAAAGGCTTGGGTCAGTTTGCAGCACAGTAAAAGGCTACAGCAACAGGATCCAAAACTAAACTAAGCTCCAAACATGCATCCCACTGATCTTCCAAAGTTTGGGGCTGTTGGCATCTATGGGGTTGATTCAGACTTTGAGGGTTCATTGACAAGTATTTGATAAGTGCTTTCGGATCTTAGATGAAAAGCACTGTAGAGATGTGAAGTATTAATATCTGCCACCCTCATTTGAAATTAACACTAAACACATGTTAATGAAGAGCTGTTTTTATGGGAGTACTCACTATGGCAGAATGGAATGTTTCTAGTGTAAATTTTGTCCTCTGAATAATACAAATGTTTGTATGTATAGGAGGCTGAACACGGAGTGAAATTTGGCGCTGCAATATCTGAAAGAATATTCTACTTAGAGAAAGCCAGCAATACTTTTTACTGAATTACTTCTGCAGTGAAAGAATTTTCTTCCTTCTCAATACCAAAGGTACATTTAAAACATTTATCATTTTAGCAGTCCTTTGGAGAAAGCTATATTGGTGGCTATCTTGATATACAGACACTCTAACTTAAAGGAAAACTGGCAAATAAATTACTTGAGCTGAATGAAAACCCAAACCGAACAACTTAGATTCATTTATTATCTTATCTAGGCACAGTATCTCATATGTTTAACAGAATGGGACAGTGGGCACTCAGATTAAACTTTCTCTGGCTCACAAAAAAAACTAACTTGCTTTCAAGCTTGAAATTTCTGCTATTGAGGGGAGCAAGACTGCGGTTGTGTGGGGCTTTTCTAGAGGAAGTTTAAGCCATGAAACACAGGGACAGAGTCCTGGTTTTCTCAAGTCTCTAGGATTTATTCCTTTGGTTTCAGCATCTTCAGGATCAAAAGCTTGCTCCAAAGCTTGAAGCAGCTGAGATCAAAAAGAAAGCAAAATTTGGACCCAAACCAGTCATAAGGGCTATCATCTCACTCAGCCTGAGCAATGGCAGCTGGACTATGGTGATTAATTGGAACAGCAAGCCCTGGTAGCGGAAGCCCAGTGTGGACACGGCACCCTGGGGTGGATTCACTGCCAGCTCACCTGCTCGCAGTGATACTGCAGTATCACCTGCTGTCACCTGGTGGAGCAGTGTCCTCTAGAGCTACAGAGGATCCCACTGTGTTGCGTGGGCTGATGGCAGTGAAAGGAAGAGTAAAAATGCAGGCAGAGGATCCCTTTTTGCCTCTGGGACACTGTCCTAAGAGGCAGAATAAAGGCTCAGTGCACATGTTCCCCAGAGCCCCCACCCCAAAGACTCCAAAGCACATAGACTGCAGTCAGTAGAGTGCTGCAGGCTTCTTTTGGGATAATTCAGATTACAGGACTTCCTGATCATACTCTCTGCATGTGGGCTTTTAAACCTTGCGTGTGAGCGCAGGGCCAAAGCTAGGTGGTCCCACAGGGGAGAGAAGCTGTGGTGCTGCCGAGGTTGGGGAAGAGCCCGAGGGAGCCAAGGCAAAGTTCAAGCTAAAGCTCTGAGTACTTGCTGTTACATCTGATTTTATCTGAAATCTAGTGAGAATGATGGATAAAGAGCTAGCCCCCCAATCTGTAAATTATACCTGAAACAATATATTTGAATTTTGTTCCTATTCCTGATGATGATACAGCTGTGGAATTGTTTTTTATTATTTTTCTTTACTTTTTTTGATGTAGTAGAATGAATTTTTTACTCTTTCTCTATTGCACATTTTAAAATGTTGTTTGGAGTCTGGCCTGCTGTTTGGAATCCGAATCTTAGCTTGAGCTGAATCATTGTGCCCAAATCTGGGCTGGAGGAAGATAGTAATGATCAGTGCACTAGTTAGCTTTCTGCTACGGACAATGGCAGGAAATGAATAATTGCTTTTCAACTCTATCTGACACTCAAATTCAAGGAGTGCTTGTCATAGTCACTCTACTACTGTAATGTTTGCTGACAGTAGGCACAAAATAATTGGATGTGTTCAGGGCAAGTGAGCTTAAAAGTTCAAAGTTTTGTGGAGACAAACAAAACATTTCCACACAAGAAAAGCCAAATGTCTTCGTTTATTCTGAAGGATGAAAAAAGGCCATGGATGTACAACTGTGTACACTGGCATTCCCAGGAATCCTCTTTTGCCAGACTTTTCCTCTGAAACCCTCCAACCCAAGGCACAGTGGTGCAGCAGAGTCGAATGAGCACAGGCTTATGGCTTACCACACAGGCTCCCGAAACAGGCTCCATGTTGAGCCTCTGAGGATGTGCTTATTCTACCAAAGGTACTGTGTTATGCTATTGGGTTGTAACTCAGTATTGCTCTGGCAGCTTATGTAAAAGAGACAAAAGTCTCTCCTAATGCAAAACTCTGAAGCAGGACTGTTACCATTTATGTTGATTATTATTAGCCGAGGCTGGCCAGCACACCATTATTGGAAAATTGAATTAATAGCTATTAAAAGCAAGTGGAACCTATGCAGTCACCCTTGAAAATCACAGGCCAAAAATTTAAAGTAGCCAAAGGCTAGTTCACATTTTAAAAATGTGTTTTTAACTACCATCACTTTAAGCAGTCTTTAACAGGAATTTTTCATAGTAAATAGTATTTAATATGACAAAGAATTGCAGAAGCTGACCCATTTTTACTAGAAGGTGCAAACCAAAGACAACTTTGCTAGCCAACAAAACAAGTTTAAACATAGCAGTAATTTGGTGAAGGAATGCACCTACCACCAACGTCAAATGATAGAACAAGGGAAACCTCTCCCTGAACAAGAAAGCAGAACTATAGCTTTCAGCTTGCTCTGAAGCTTGGACACCACAATTTGTATTTGTTAGGTGGGACTTTGTAGGTAAACAAGGGTGTTAGCAGAAGTGCATCCTTCAAACACCTTGTGTCAACAGAGTTGAACGCTGGAGACCTATCAATATCAACCCTATCTCTTTCAGTAGACCTAGATACGCTATTTAGTGCACGGTGATATAGGTTGCATAGATATATGATAGCTATTATTAAGAGAACGGGCCAAGTATTAGAGTAGTGATTTAGCTTTCATGAGTAATTCAAAAGTAGTTAAGTCAGCTTTGCATCGGTTAAGCTAGACAAATAAAGAAGCTAGACAAATAAATCTATTGGAGATGCAAGACAGAGAAGAGTCAGGGCTTTCCATGGGCAAAAGATCAGAAAAAATAGCTTCAGTACCATGTAGCCACTAAAAATAATTTTAAGTTATTTTGGCTAAGATGGTACAAAGATATGCAATTAGCCCTGTAGGCTAGGATATCTTATACTAGGGATTAACAAATGATGCCATTCTTGAAAATTTTGTGAGCTAGGTGAGAACTGTACCTTAATATTTACTTCCTATATTACTATTACCTTAATATTTACTTCCAGGTCTCTGAAATAATTGTTACTCTTTATTTTAAATCTCCCCTTTTCTTATTTTTATATTTCCTTTTATTTTCATTTATACTGCTTTAACCTTATCAGCCAACATTTCATATCACTGTTGAATGTCTTTGCTATGTTGTATCCGCATTGTCTGATTCTCTATTTACTCTTTCTATTGCTTGATTAAGTTATTGAGTAAAAAGCTTTTCCTCTGTTACCATGAAAACACTTCGGGGCAAGGGGAAGGGTTCTTGACCTCTTGTGATTTCTCAGCTTCTCTCTAGGATTTGACCTTACCAGCATACCCTTCCTGCTTGACACATGCCCATCGCTGTCTGCTACCCTCCCCTCCAATCTGCCAGGACAGCAGCTTCGGTGGGTGTGCGGGGTGGTGACAAACAACCAAGGGTGAGGGGGTGGCAGTGGCAACCTCTCCTACCAGCACAGCTGCCTCTGGGACAGGGAGTCTGCCAAGGGAAAGCATACTGATCTTAATTCTAGCTTAATTCTTATTGCCAGTGCCACAGAAAACAAAGCTTACTGTGCCGAGGGTAGGGTTTACGTGAGGAAACGACAGGTACAAACATGGAAACCAACAGACAGATTTTATCTGGTAGATGTTTATTGATAACAAGAAATAAAATTTGTCCCTTTAAAAATATACGAGTTTCTTACTGATAGTATTGTATTTGCTTTATCATTCATCCTGTTACTTGATATGCAGCCATTTGTCCTTTTTTGCTTCCGAGAATAGTCAGGAAGAGATCAGATTTCCATGCCAGGCACCCGAATTGACTTGCAAGATACGTTGTATGTGAGCAAAGACGTCGCTGTTTAACTGTACCAGATAGCATGCTTAGCTGTGTAAGGAAAGGGGTACAAGAGACCCCTTTTATTTAGAAACAATCTTAGGAGATTGTCCAAAGATATCCCCAGGGGTCATATGCAGAGATTCTCCATTTCTGTGAGACCACACTTCCCCTAATCGCTCACTTCTGGAAAGTTTTGCTACGATCGAAGACTTCCATGTTCAGTGGTCTGTAAGCAGACTGGTGCTTGGACCAAACACAAATGTGTATGACAAGTGCAACTGAGTTATCTGTACTTACAAATTTAGCTCTTGGTGTTGGTTATGACAACATAAATGGGCAGGTTTTCATGAGGTGGGTCTGTGTACAAGAAGCCACGAGCGTAAGAATTCTTTTCATTATTTTAAGCTGCATTTACTATTAATGCACCTTGTTTGACCTTTAAAGGCTTCGGGCACAGTGACAAGTTCAATGCTGTGCGTACTTTTTGCTCAGCAGAATAAGGCAAAGTAGAAAGAAGTTACTCTATTAAAAAAGAGAAGAATCGTATGTCTTATTTTGTAAAGCTTATTCTTTTCTTAGAATCTAAATCTAATCAGTGCAGAAGTATGTTTGTGTGACTTTAAGAAAAATATATTTACAAGTGCTAGACACTATATTACATTACATTACTATAAATACTACTTTGGTGGTTGCAGTTCAGGAATATTTTTTAATTCTGAGGGAGATGCAAAGTAAACTTACCAATGCTAAGTCAGAGTCTAGGATAAGAGCCCTTGTGTGAGTGGTTAGTGTAGCTCTGCGTAATGAAGAACCCTGATTCAGAGCCAATGAACATAATCTCATCAGCAGTGGTGGACTTCATGGCCGAGCTTATACATGAGAGAGCAAGATTTGAAGTATATTACTGCCCAGCAGTTGACGCATTTTGACATATCCCATGGCAATGAGCAAAATGAACCATAATATGCCTTATTTGCTTTGAATGTCACAAGGCTTTATGCTGACAAGGGTGACAGTCTCCCCCCGGCACTTGTGAAGCCCCACCTGACATTCAGTCATGGTCTGACGGACAGCAGACCTGCTTACTTCAGCACAAATCCGAATGCCTCCTTCCTCACACTGCCCGTCTTCACGGCAGACACAGCTGTTGGATTGGGCTAAGCAAAAACAGAGAATAAAAAACACTCCGGATGGGAGCTACTCACAAGGAAGGTAGTAACTCATTTAATGAAAAACAGACTAATGTATTTCTAGCAAAACTATAGGAGTAACAGAGCAATTTGTGGAGGGCACTTCTCCTAAACAGAAGTAACATTAATTGATAATCAGGTTCAATGGAAAAACTAGAAGTGCAACCAAGTGGCACTCTGCTGTCACAGCAATCCAATGCGCCTACAGGGACTTCTCCAAATTTGATAAACTGCTCACTTCTATGGGAAAAGCTTTCTGAAGATGCCTGAGATAGAGGTCTTGACTACATCTCTGACATTAGTGCTTCAAATCTCCTAGCACCAGTTATCGTATCTACTGCTCCAGACTCCAGATAACATTTAAGATGAGAGTAACAAACTCTGGTCGCACCCTGATCATGCAAACACTTAAAACTTGTCTTTTTATTTACCTATTGGTAGTTTCATTAAGATCAAATAACCCACTCCTATGAATAAATGGGCATAGGTGTATCAGTGACAACAGCTAACACAATCAGGTAAGAATGAGATTTATTTTTCATAACTACGTCCTTGTTTTGGTATTGTGTGTTTAACTTTTCCTTGCATTTTTCTCTGCTGAAGCTTCAGCCAATTTTGATGACTTTTTGTTATTATTTTGGCATGTTCAAACCTATTAAACAAAATATACAAACTCCTATCAAGTAATCTTTTTTATTTTCAAAATATAATAATAATGGTGCCTTCTATCTGGGGCACTTCTGAAAACCTAATTTACTCCTTTATCTTTCCATTTCTGGCCACCCTCCATTAAATGCAATGTACTGGAGGACACTCAGGGAAATCAGATCAGGGGATAGAAAAGCTTCCACTGAAGACAGACTGCAAAAGACTGAGAATATTTACTCTGAGGGAATAGTCATTCACTGTTGTTCATGATGTGAGAAACCGGGGATATGCAGTGAAGTACAAACAGAAGTAAGTGCCCTTTCTAGACAGTATAGAATAAGACATTTAATTCCTTGCCACCAGATACCACGGGGGAGAACGCTCAGCGAGATTCAGGAAAGGATCTGATAGTGCTGAGGGTAGTGAGGACTTCCACCATTACTGTGTCAAGAAGTTTAAAACAGGTAGTTATAATGAAAAAAGGGTAGGGCAAGGATTTCACCCAAAACTGCCAGAGAAACATCTAATGTGGTATCCACTTAACAGAGACTGGGGATGGGCTTTTCCTATAGACAGTTTATTCTGTTACAATCTCCTGCAGGGTTTTATTTTCCATGACTGGAGCTTTCTGTCATAGTCATACACCAAATACCGGGCTAATGGTTTGAACCAACTTAGCAGTTTGTGTGTGCTTCTGGGAGGATCTGGAGTTGCTAATGTAAAGACAAAACTACGGCAAAACGTGTGAATAGGGATAAAGATTTCATTTTGTTACTTATGATTGTGAAGAATCTCTTACCATCACATTTTTCCCATGAACGGCATGATCCACAGGATTTTTCAGCTGCCTGAGGTATTTTGCAGTTTTCTACATCAGTAAGAGAATATTTTCTGCCCGTGCACTCCAACGCATGCATCTTGCAAACAGTTAAAAGTGTGTTTCTCTTCGTTCTTTGATCTGTAGCACAGACGTCCAGGGAAGGACTGAAAACAAAAGCAGGGGTTGCACTGTTTAAACGTGCTTTATCTTTGTACCTCTTAAAAAGAGCTGAGGGAATGGAAAATATTCAGGGTCCCATTCTATTTTTCCTATTCAGTGAGGTACGTCCTGAAAGTGCAGCAAGGAACTCGGGACTTAGACTCATGAACAAATCAGACTTCTTCCTTTCCCATAGAATGCTGCACCTCAACAGTACCAGAGTCTGTCCCCTTTGAAGGACAAGGATAGTACTGGGTATTTTGCCATTGACCTCAGTGGCAGTGAAATCTAGACTTCATTAGTTAAGAGTTCAGACCTCAGTTATTCACTACTATATTATACATCTGTGCACACATGTACATACACACAAACATATGGTTTCACATACATATAATGACATATACACACTGGCATGCAAATTATTATTTCATAATTATTAATTACAACAGATGAGAACATAGTTAACGTATTTATTGCCTGCTCTCCTTTAAAAGCCTCAGATTTTACCGCATAAAGAGTTATGACCCGACATCAGAGACCAGAGAAACTTCTGGAAACACAAATACAAAATCTACACAGAACTTTTATCAAAAACCTGCTCTATTCATGCAGGGCCTTTACTTGTTTATTTCTTGAAATTCAGATATTGTCCTAACACCCACAAAAATTCGTTTATAAAAGCAATAATAACGATTCCTGGACAACCTTGAACAGTATTTGCTTCAGGGACAATTCTAGGAAGGTATTATCATTTGTATTTCATGCTGTAGATGTAGGAGGGGGAAAAAAAGACCTTCCATTATTTCTGGATTTCATTCTCAAAACCCAAGCTTCTCTACTTACGCTTCATGCAGTTGGTGCCATCTGTGTGGACTGAACAAAAATGCTGCCTACTCAGAGTAGGTCATTCACATGCTCTCCAGGCAGCGTTTTACACCCACGGGGAGATTACTGTGCAGGCTACTAGACAGTGGAGAGTCACTCCCAAGGTACGAAGAGCTTTGAAATGCAGCTCCAAAGGCTTATTTCTCACTTTGAACAGCTCAGAAGTACTTACACAGAAACATTAGTATCTAAAATCGGTCCGTTCTTATGGTCAACCCAGGCAAAACAGGTGTTTGATGCAGAAGAGAGGCTGACCAGGAGCGGCCAAAGGGGCCTAATGAGTGGAGTGAGGCTGTCTGCCAGGGAAGGTAACAGTTCCTGAGAAAGTGGCTTGTTGGGAAGAGGAATTTGAAGAGGGAACTTCTGGTAAGAAAGCATTGACTCCAGGCTTGTTCGACTACTTGCCAAGTGTTGAGGTAGACTTTTTTTTTCTCTGAGAGCTATGAAATGCTTTTTCATAGGATCTATAAACAAAACACCGAGAAAAAGTGCCTGCTCCAAGCTCTGGGAATGATTCTCTGAGAAATGATTTTGAAGCCTCTTAAAAGAGCTGCATTTACAGAAAGTTAAACTGTCTGTAGCTTAGTGCTCCTTTAATGTCCCTCAAATTTGGCATAGAATTCATCAGCTGATTCTGAAAACTTTGACTGTCGCATCTACCTGCAACTGAATGTGCATTTAAACATTATTAATTGTATTATAACTCCTACATATGTTAGCACCTTCAACTGCAATGTGTCCCTTAAGTGCTGTGCTTGGTCAAGCTACCAGCTATGAAATCCCTAGTAATTTTTTGTTGCTTGAATTTTTCTAAATGCTCTTCTGCTAACATAAAGAATGAAATGCACTAGTCTCTCTGCTTTGCGCCACTTCAGCAGCACCCAGCAGAGGGGAAGGAGGCTGATTTAGCCCGCTGTTTATGGTTCACAACAGGGAAAGAAACGTAGGGAGCGCACGTTCCATGTTGCAGATGTCTAGCTATGATGTTGTCCCTCAAGCTCTGTGAGACTGGGTCCGCTGGGAAGAAAGCCAGTGGAAATAAGCATGTTCAGACGCATAAGAAAATGGTTGGATACGCTGTACTCATAAGAGAAATTAATAACTTGCACTCATTGCTAAGAAAGTATATTACAGGGATAGGAGGATCAGAACAGTGGAATACAAATAATTAAAGGCAAAGAAGAGTCCTCATGTGGAAGGAATTTGAAAAATTCAGCACCTTTTATCTGAAAAAACAAGGCTGGAATAAGAACAAGCCTTTACAAAAGCACATAGTATGAGGAATTAAATAGCACATGTAAGTCAGCAAATACCTTTTCTCTTCCACCTACTATATGAGGCAGGCAGCTTGCAGTGAAACTAAAAAATGAGAAATTCAACATGCTAGAAATGATTTTAACTTATTAAGTTTACATCCAAGACCATAAATTTTAACATAGGCCAAAAACTCTTAAGAAACATAGATGCTACACAAATAAATGTGGGGAGAAGGAAGGGGGTACTTTTGAAAAGATATTCAATCTCATTCTTCTTTGTGGAGATAGTCTTTCACTGCTGGAGGCTAAGGTTTCATCTATATTAATACACTAACTGTCCTCTGAACCATTTCTTGCAGAAGGATAAATTTCCACAGAATAACTGGTATCCATACTGTTAAACTCTCTGCCCTCAGAGCAGGGGGACCACATCAAACTGCCTATAGTCCTTGACCCTAAAAGCTCCTGAACTGTGCCTGGAAATCATGTGGGAGTTAGCCCTTGCCAAAACTCTGCTAGGAGATGTTCTAGCAATTTAGCAGAGCCAATGCTCAGGAATGTTCCCTGTCTAATTTATTAGGGTAGATATAGCCTAAGGCACCATGTCATGAGGGACAAATTACCTTGCACCAGCCTGTTGTGGGGTTCTTGTGCCATCCCTGGAAGTTTCTGTTGCTTATCTCTTGGCAATTGAAAAGACCAATGATGGGTCTGAAACCATGGCATGTCTGCATTTCTTGTGAACTGTTCTGAGCAGAGGCTGCTGTTGAGAGTCACCATCACAGCAAAGCAAACCAGGTTACCTCAGTTCTCAGAGGGGGGGCTGGGATCAGGTTACGTGCTTCAGTCCTATAACCTCAATAGGCTAGCAGGTTAACCTGCTTAGACAGCTGATGATTTATCATTTAACTATTATTAGATGTGTTATTTCAAGACAGAGCGAAAGATGGCATCAGGTAACAACAATGACTGTTCTCTATCTTCCTGCCATTTTGAATATAATTAAAAAAATAGAAACAGGCAGGCAGCAGATTAATTATAACTGAAGCCTAAATGTATAACCGAACGTAATTCATTTAACTTCCACAGTTGTCCCGACTCTGCACAGGGGCTTCCCTAGCATTGTGGAGCCTCCTCATCTTCTACGTAATTGACCTCAGAAAAAATACGAAACAGAAGAGGGGTTGTTGCCTCATTTTAACAAGTAGAGTATTTAAGTAAAAAGAGTAGGACTAGAATATTTAAGATATTTAGGTGTTTAAGGATACGGAGAGTCTTAGTGGAGTTGTTAAAACTTGACCCTTATCTTCCCAAAGCAGGGATGCCAGTCAATGGTCTCAAGTCCTAGGAAAACGCCCAGTGGAACTGCAAAACCTGAACTAAGCTCACCAGTTTTGATTTGGAGATGTTCAAGGTGTGCTAATTTTGGCTTAGCGCTAGAATCACTGTGCAGGGCACTCTTGTAACTACCTATCTGATACATGTAGTACCTATTCCACTGAGAAGTCCTGCTACCTCTAAATCACTTGAATTTTCTTTCTCCTACCACACTGGAAAAGAAAAATCTCATCTGTTATCCTGGAGTTTTAAAACTGTTCAGCTCTTGCTATGATAAACCTGGCCAGATCTCATATCCAGAGCTCACACTCACTGTGCTGGTGTCCTACGAAAACTATCCCAGATGTTTGAGTGCTGAGCTCTTTGGAACATTTGGCTATGAGTGCCAGGTGGCCTTGGGTCTCTTCTTGTTACTTCTCATTTATGGTTCTGTTCCCTCAAAAGTTAGCAAAGAACCCAGTGAGTGAATCAATGCCATATGTTTGTCCTGCTTTACTTATCACAGAGTGTAGGCTTAGATCATTAAGTAAATAAGAAACAACAAACTCTGGTCTGCAAGTTATGAGTTCATAAAAGGTGACATGAGTGGTCTGAAGAGGATTGGCCTCTCCAAACTGCTGTGTAAATAGGAGATTAGATTATTGTACCTTTCATAACTCTCCAGTTTCTCAGCAGGGAAAATAAATCTGCTTTATTTCACTAGCTTACCACTTGGATGGTTTAGGTCCCCGTCTTCTAAATCTTCAAAATATCATTTTATCTTTTTCCATCTATTTCACAGATCAAGTAGAGCTGAAATTATCCCTTCACCTTCTGTCATCTAACCAAATTCCATCACTGCTAATACCCACTGACAGCTGTGACAAGACAGGTAAGTGATGAGCAGGACACTGATTGAGCTGTAAAGCAAACAAAGCACTATACCTCCTTCTCATATGAGTAAAGCTTTCTAATCTGTCATGGACTGAAGGCTTAAGAAATTTAATTGGTCTTGAATAAAGTGAGAAAGTCATTGTCAAATTCAGCCTGAACTTACCCACACTCATAGGGCATTTTGCACACGCATTGTGACTGCTGCACTTTCTCCCATGGCTGACATTTAGGCTCTGTCACTTCTGGTTTCACACTGGGTGCTGAAGTAGAAAAACACAGACAATGCTGTTAAGGGTCAGAAAAACAAAGGCTGTTAAAAGGCTACCCTGAAATCACCCCATCAGCTGAGCTTAAAAGGCACTGAATTATATAACGGAATTATATAAATCACATTCTACGTGTTCACTGAAAGTAACTACTGCATGGAAGGAATCTACAGTATTGAAAAGATATAATACATTTGCGGAGTTACTGAACAGTATTTGTCCACGGGCTAAGAGTCAGACTGAAGGAGACATGTACAATGTTGAAGCTTAAAGATTCATTCCAGTTCTGCAGCAGCTGTCTGTTTCTGCTAAACTTGGCAGTGCTGAATCATAGTTCGCAAGTGTTGGCAACAGCTTTAGCATCAGATTTCAGAGTTACTGGCTTCACGGTTGTGACTAGAAAAGCTGAGACTCCAAAGCCCTGTGCAGAAATAGTGAATCTTAATATCCAGATTCACTGATGGTAATGAAAATTACAAGTCTGAGCACAAAGTCCTTAATCTGCACTAACTTAAAAAAATAAAAGCAGCAGTGGTTCCTGGGGAATTTTCATGATGCACACGTGTTGTTCTTTGGCTGCTGAGTTATAGTCTAAGCTTTGAAATGAAAGAGGCATTTGCTAAACATTCCTCTAGAGATTTCTGTAACAAGTAATAGCAAGACTTTGTTTAATTCATAGAGCCACGCTTTCTGAGAAAGGTTTATCATGATTTGTGTGTTAGATTAGGGGTCTATAGTATTCTGCTTTAACCTGAAACTTTAATCTCCCTGAACACTGTTGCATTTTATAAATAAATCTCCCTTGCGGATTAAGACTTGGCAAGCGAAACAGACAGGCAGAAATGGACAGAGGAGTTAAAAAATAGAGTTGTAGTGCTTTGCAACACAAACACCAGGCATAACCTTGTCTGCCTGCAGAAGGGAAATTTCCACCAAAAATTGCTGCAGTGTCTCCAGGTCTGGGGCTGCTGGTTTTACCTGTCCTCTGTAGTTTACTGTTATCGACACTATTACTGACTAAATACTCTCGTCCCACCTTATTTCAGTAAGGCCAAATAGATGTGTGCCATTGTGTCTCTGCATGTACATATCTTCATTATAATTATTGTCCGTTTTTATCTTACATTCCTTCTATTTTTTAGCTGTTATTCTTCCTGTTTTACTAATGTAATAGTCCCATACAGCAAGACACAAATTATTTCTAAAGATGGAAGCATTTAAGCTGGTTTCTAGTCTTTACTAGAGTTTGAATACATGATGTTACAAAAACTGATGAAAATTAATCACTAAGGCTGAGCCTCAGGACCTAGGCAACTAGCAACTGTAATACTGTAGCACTAGCGCTTTTGTATGTTAGTGACAATGAGCCATTTTATTTACAGGCATGTTGTTCCTTCTGAAATTCTCATGCTTGCTGTACACACGGATATGATATAACGGTCAGAAACTGCAGATGACCGAGGTTGGTATTCTTATGGGATGCTGATCTTTGACTTACGAGCCTGATTTTCACCTGCCTTTTTCCTTAGATTGGGCGACTACAGGCCACAGCAGTTTGCTGATGATAATGAGAGCATAGACACAAAATATGGGATACGAGCCTGGTCTATTCCCTGGGGAACAGCAGTGGCTGCTAGTTTTCTTCAAGGGTCTGAGGAAGAATATGAGAACATCTGGGATGTCGAGTAAGGATGTGGCTGACTTGAAGTAGCAAGCTGTTTGGATGCTTGTATGTCACTAGCCAGCATTGTAAGAATGCACAAGAGAAAGTCTTGTCTGCCCTCCACAGCTGGAAAAGATGAACTGAGACTAACCCGCTTTATGGTATAGCCTGCTTCTGTCTCTGACAGTGCCTGCCAGTATCAACCCAGAGCTTAAACAGCTGTTACTAGGAGCTTGAAGATCCATACCCCCCTGTCCTTCACTTCCTACAGATTTACTCCATATCAGCTGTGTGACTGTCGAACGTGCAAAAGGAGTCACCCAGCCCCAGCTCTTCTCTGCCATGAGAGGCCTTGGTGCACAGAATAGATTCCAGACGGCTTCCAGCGAAGTCACGTCTCCATGGTGCAGTTCACATGGTGGTGGCAATACACAATGCGAGTGGAAAGTCAAGTGTATTTGGGGGCAGAATAGGCAGCATATATCCTAGACAATCTCTTAAAATATTGTTGGTGATTATGCTTCATATCTACAGGGGAATGGGAAGCAACAAGCCAGAAGGAAACTTCAAAAAGAAATGTCTTGAGGCATCTTGTTTGAACACCTTGCAGAAACTGGTCAGTTATCTTGGCCCATGGTGAAGCACACATTCAAATCTTCTGTGCTTTGTGTTGTTGATATGGATAAACCTCTCTATCAGTATATTAGCTCTAGTTCTGTGTATATCTTATCTATATCAACCATAGTCTGCACAGGAAAGAAACCCTTGCACTGCATTTAGAAGACTACAGTGGCTTACCCGGTCTCTTGCACTGGATAGTCATCATGTCAGGAGACCACTTGAGACTGGGCTCACACAAAATGGAGCCTGCCCCTTCTAAGCGCATGCCACGTGGACAGGACAGAGTCACTCTCTCACCGATCTCGTATAAAGGTTTCCATGGCTCTCCTTGCAAACCCCCCTCCAGGGCAGGTAGGAGACAAGCGGTTTCTGAGGAATGAAGCATTTGAGATAGGCACGGTGAATCAGAGGACTGCAGAAAGCGGTTGCATATGTTAGCTTGTCTTAAATTCCTAAAAAAATTGAATGGAAATATTAGCCGTTTTTCCTCTGGCAATATGCCAATTATGTTAGCAAAGAATATTAACTCATTACCCCAGCGATATATATGTGCAATACCAAGGACAGAGTGACTATATCTTCTCCTGTTGCCTGCAGATCTGGCCCTAGCCTGAACAGAACTTCTCTGTTCTTATAACCTGTGCTTCTGTTAAGGGTTCGTGCTAGTAACTAGCATCCTAGTAGGGACAGGTCATACATATAGAGCCCTGAAGACTCTGTACTGATACACGAAGAGACGGTACTCAGACAGTGTGGGCTAGCGTTTGTTGACAATAAATTCTGGTTGGAAGGAGGAAAAGAGGATATTGAACAACAGGCCTGAAAACTCCCAGGTCTCACTGATTGCACTCAAAGTTGATCTACAAAAAAAATTTGAGGGAGAAAACACCCTAATGGTTACTAACTGGGCTAGAGGAAAAGAGGGAAGGTGAGAGATCATCCAAGCTGTAAACTGATCCCTGCAGTTGAGCTCCGACGATGAGACAGTTATTTGAGAACTCTGTGGTTGCCCAGAGTTCCACTGGACCTTTTACTCAGTTTGGTTTATAAAGGGACACAGGCTTATCCCAATGGTTCTTGGCCACAGCCACAAGACTGAATTGCGCAACAAAGGCTGTTCCTCGGAAAGTAATTCCTCCCACACCCAGGAGGGTGGAGTATTGTCCAGGATCTTGAAGAGCGCCCTTCTTCCTATGTAGCATTAATCAGGGATAACATAATGTATGAGAATGGTATACGCTGCAATTTACTGCCAGCTTAGAAGGATTATGGAGAACTACAGAAAATCTCAGTCCTGTATAAACATAAGAACATTGTGATTCCTCTGATAGAGATTATGGGACTTATTGATCATCAGTCTTTGTGATTCTGGCTTATATCTCAATGGATACAAACCTTGCTTTAAATATAGTAAAACTCTTTCTACAAATAATATTCGACCTGGTTCGATCAGGTGTGCTGGGCTTTCATTTCACTTCCTGCCTTCTTTACAACCAGAGTTTATGGCTTTTTTTCTATTTCAGTATAACAATGTCTGGATTCAAAGAAAAGAAAGTCAATCTAAGCCTGATTCTGTTTAGGGAACTGGGAAAATACTGGTGTGTATTTCTTTCCCCCTTATTGCTAGGAAACAGACACGGAGAAAAGTTTCACCAGAATTCAGGAATTAAGTTGCATTTCATAATGAGAATCAGTTAGACATACTCTGGCAATATCTGTCTCCAGTTTGCCACTGTAAATTACTGCCACACTTAGCAACAGGATCACCAACGAGAGAGTATCCATCTCTGCAAGTGTAAACAATGCTTTTCCCAACAGGGTATAAGTTTTCAGCATTCTGAAAGAAAAGGAAAAGGAGATATTTTGAATATATAATCTAGGAATCACCAGCAATGTCGAACTCCCATTGATCTCGGGGTGGGATCTTGGGATGCAGTAGTTTGGGACAGTGTTAAGTGTTAATATTATTCTACAATGAATTAATGGGAGTGTCTGGAGTATTGTGGGCAATTCTCATTATCTGTAGTCAGCAAATGTGCTCAAAATGGAAAAGATGCTGAAAAAAAATTGGTAGAATACAGAAGATTCTAGCTTAACATAGCAAAATGAGAGTTAGAGTTGAGTGTACCTGGTGACAGGGGTCTGGCAGTGATGTATACGAGAAATGGAACAGTGCTTTTCTGCCAGCATATAAACTGACTACAAATATGGCTGTTACTAAACTTTAGCAGAATTAAGCTCTCAAATTCCCAGTGGGAGTAGCAGAGAGTATATGGCTTGGCTAAGTCTTAGAATGGCATGCTATCAGCTTATGCATGGTTAATGTGATATGGCCACTTAGGAGGGCTGTCCTTGAGGACACAGATCTTTTCTCATTTTATATCCTCCTCCGTTCTAAGGAGAGATCTTATAAAAACTGAGAATATTCCACAAATTGCAGGATTCTGTCTTTAGTTTGTGAACTAAGTTTATCAACATGGGAGAGAGCCATTGATTACAAAAAATTCATGACAAAATTTTGGATCATGCCTCAGGCTCAGTTGTGCAGAGCTAACTAGTGGATTTTTAACTAATCCTCCTATTTATTTTATTGACCAGGAAGACTCTAGACAGCCTCACAGCACAGAGAAGGCATAATCTATACCCTGAGAAGTCTCCCTTGCTAAATAGACCCAACTTTGTAATACAGTCAGCAAAATAACTTGCCTCATCATAGTTCCACCAGGGAACAAGAAAGTGCAATGGTTAGTCACAGGATGAAAAGTCAAAAGTCCTAAAATCTCTTTATAATTTTGCTATGGACATGTGATGAATTACCTTTGACAGTTTACTCTCTGTGCTCTGCTTCTCTTTGATTTTCTGTAATTTGTAAAACATTTCTGTGCCACATATGTCAGCTACGTGTGTAGCGTGTAAGACAAGATTTCTAGGAAAAGCAAAAAATTTGCAGAAAAGCAAAGATTTTATTTTGTGTGTGTGTGTGGGGGGGTGCGTTTTAATGTGTAAAGTCTTGACTAACTTCTTGTAAACTTAAGCAAGGGGGACAGTGCTAAGAAAGCTGCAGTAGCTTTGATAATGAACTTATCAGTACTAAACTTATCAAGACAAACCCACAGTTTCAAGTGAATCTCTATATTAACTTCAGCTGTGACACTGCAGGTAGGGACAGGGCAGATAATAAAATAATAGAAATAACTTACTTGAACAAATCCATTTTCCAAGAGAGGAGGAGGTGTACAGAATTCTGTAGGACTTATGGATATATCAAAGCAGTGTGGTTCAATTAGGCTATAAAGCAAACAAAAGTACTACTAAGTTTGAATTTGTTTAGTTACTTTTCCTTCCAAAATAGTAAACGTCTCAATTAAGTTCATTTTCAAGACCATTACATGCCCCATTTATGTCACAATTATACTTAAATCAGGCACCACCTGGATATTTGAAAAAGAGAGTACTAAAGCGAATGGTGTCAAGTTTACCGGCTTTTACCCCATTTTCTAGTTCACCTCTATCAGATTCAGTTCCTGGGTTTCATCTTGTTTCAACGTATGAAACAATATGAAAGCTGGAGGGTCAGTGAGTGACATTCTCCCTACGTGCAACAATCTGTGCATTCTTTTGAATTAAATTTTTAAATCTTCCCTTATTTGTGCTCCAAAAGTTTCTTTTCTGCTTACTGAAAATGTTGCAACTCTTCATCTTCACAAGGTCTGCTTTCATGCTGTTCTCCTATGCATGCCTTCCCACCACCCTGTGGTGAGGGGTTGTTGCAGGTTCGACTCCTTGATTTCCTTCCCCCTGAACACGGACTCCAGGAAGACCAGCAGCTCCAGTGTCCATCAACAACACCTACGTAATGTTTGAGACCATTTCACATTAAACCACTCTGCAGGTTTATTATCCTGAAAAAGGCAAGTACTATTCAAAGCTAATGAAAATCCAAACTACGACCCTACAGAGAATTCCACGTTGTTATGATCTCTGTTCCCCTACTCATTCTGCCCAGCCTCACAAAGACACCTCTAAGTTTGTCTTTTTGGTTACACTAGGGCTTTGGCTTCTGAATACCTGTGTAAGTCTTAGGAATAAGGGTTGAGTTGATCCTCATTTTGACCACTCAATCTCCTTTCCTTAATTTTGTGTCCAATGGGACACAAGTCATGTGTGACTTGCATATTTGAAGAGAATCTGCAAGTTCTTCTGGCTTAAGGGCTATATACAGCAATTTCCCAGTTCAAAACTTGGCTGACTTTGCTCATGGACTGAGGTGCGATGTGCAGCAAGTCAGTGGCACCAGTGATTTCAGCCTCACCTAAAATTAATCTTCCAAGTAAGGAGATAGAGATTCAGGAGCGCAGAGCACTCCACAACATCCTAATTTCCTCCCTCTACACTAGGTGATCAGCAGCATTGAAATATCTATGTTAGTTTAGTTACTTACCTCAGAACTTAATTATGAGAGTGTATGCACCCCAGTTTGGCAACAGTGACTTTGGCCCATTAGTATATGAATTTCCCTGCTTATGGGTGGACAGGGACAGAATCACCTGTGAGACTGAAGAACACCTGCTCTTTTAGAGTATATATTTATTTATGGAGGGCTGCACTATGAGTGGTTAGTATTATCCACTGTATTTAACAATATTTATAAAAACAGTTATTTATAAAGTACTGTTTATACATGCTAAGCAGAGTGTCAGGCTCAGCAGGAAGAAACCTGTCCCCATGCTATATGTCTGCAGCAGGAACTGACTGAGCAGCTGCTGCACAACATCAGCTGCTCATTCAGTCTGTGCAGCAGGATAAACAGATTCTGGAAACAGGAAAGTGCACTTACCACTTTTAAACTCTCACAAATTTAAACAAGTGCTGACCTGGCTGATCTTGCACGAGAGTTCCCAGTTCACAAGCAGCTCCGAAGGTGTAAGGCTTGCAGTAACACACACATTGAGTTCCTTCCACAGCTGGCTCACCACCATTCTGGCAAGGATGACATTTGCAGGGATCGTTTTCAGCCATATATTCCTCAATGGCTTGTTTTAGGTAGTGCTTTTTAACTGAGGAACAGGGCACTTCCTTTACCAGCTCATACAGTGGTGTCAGCTACACACAGAAGAAAAAAAATTTACATTAAAGCTATATTAAGGATAGAGCAGTTTATCAGCACATTTTGTCATGTAAGATAATTTGTGATGCATGTTCCTGCACATGAGTCTTGAAAGATGCCCTAAATAGTATGTTAGCCAACTAAAATCTTATTTTAGTTTTTAATGTTAGCTTTTTTCTGCAAAATCAGCTCTATTTAACAATGTTTCTTCAAGTTACTGGCAGCTTAGTTGTGTTTAAACACATCTGAGATGAGAGATTACAGCTGAGATTAAAGTGTACCGTAACACAGTCCACCAGTGTACAATAACTTAAGTCATCATCATCAAGCTATTCCCAGCCTAGAAAGCTAGACATTTAACCAAGCTATTATGTCATTTCATTAAGTAATGATTAAAGACAGCAATAAGTAAAAATATTTTGCATTCCTATGGCAGATTTTATATCTTATGTTCTCATATTTAATTGAAAACTCCCTGATGGCATTCTACTGCTTTTACATTATGCTTCAGCATTCAGGCAGTTCCCAAAGGGGACTCGGACAAACTAGCGGTGAATACTCTTGTGCCAATTTTCAGGTGTCTGGCTTCCAGAATCTCCAGTTACCTCAAATCACCACACACAGAGAAAAGGGAGAGGTATAAAAGGGATACAGAGGGGTCATCAAGCTGCGTGTGGAAGCCACACACAGACTTGCCAACATGTAATTCAGAAAATGGGCTACTTGAAATCTAGCCTTTCTCCAATGCTAGGCTGACCCTCTGTTCTTAAGCAGAACACCAGTAAAATCACCAAAAGCTTGTAAGGCTGGCAGGTAACTACCAGACAAAGGTTAGATTTGTGATACAGCCAGTCGCTTCCCAGAATTTTCTTCCTGTGAATTTTTTTTACTTTTATGAAGTGATCTGAATACAGAATGATTGCTGACTACAGCCTGATTAATCACCCTCTATAATTTAATCACTTCTCCCCTTGAGGTAATCCAATCTGCTCATGTGTGTTTCAGGAAAGTAGCCTTACCTTTTTTTTAATTACTCTGGGATAGTTTGTCACTGATCCAGCCCAAAAGGAGTATCTCTGACTGTTCCCAGCAGGATTATTCAGCTCTAGATAACTAAGGCCAGCAACACCACCTGGGCTTCCTCCTTCTATATAAGGGTCTCCTTTAATCTTTTTGCCACTACTTCCTGTAGATTCAGGATGGGAAAGACAGAAAATAGCAGCTTTGCATATTTACAAATAGGAATAGAAACAATACGTGCAAAAACTATACTAGCAAGTAGTGAAAGAATGCCTCAGGGCAGAATGCACTTATGAGATTACAGTGTCCTCAGTAGTAATACTTTGTCAAATCCCACAGCAGCATTTCCTAAAAAAGAAGGATATTGGCTTAGGATAAAAATGCAGTGTGGAGAAGTTGCAAAGAGTCACATGCATCTGAAAACTCTCCAACATCTGCAAAACAGGCTGCAGAAAGTAAGTCGGTGGGCATCTGTAGAGCTGTTTATCCCTTTCTGTCACACAGACTAACTGCACAAACAGATCAACACCCAAACTTTCTTATAACATATAGCTCCATAAAGGCCCTGTCTAAAGAGACCCTGCATACGGTGATGAAAATGGGTGCTACAGTTCCGGACAGATCAATCATGCCCACTTGCATCAAGAGGTCTCACATGTACAGCACATAAGCAACATCCAGTTTTCCAGCTGTATTAGCCTCCCTGGCTGTAAGGTGTCTAGAAAAGTATTAATTATTGGGAAAGCATTAGTACTGTTTGGGTCTTGGGGAGCCTTTTAAACTGGGCACTTGGTGTTTGGGTTCCATGTGTTAAAACAGTTCAGCAAAGCTATCCACACCTGTTCCTCATTTGGACAGCTATTTAGGAAGAGATGAAAGCTGGATATATGGTATCTGTGCAAGTTACTACTGAACATTCACCTGAAGAAGTTTGTAATAGTTCATCCAGTTTGGAGCATTCTGTTTTCTTCTTCTTTACAATGAATGCATTCCAGCCTGATGTAGTACACTTGTACATGTCTGTTATGCTCAGACCTGCAGAAAATAGATCCATTAACAATACCATACGTTGAAAGTTAGTCTATATTTTTAATTAATGTCTCAGTTCCCCATTGACCTGAAAGGTGTTTTAGAAACAGAACCACCACATTTTCTGCTTGAATTAGGAGGCAGCTAAAAAGTAGGTTCTATAGGGAGGTCCACCTTATGCTACAGCCTGTGGATGGAGGCTGAGACAGAAGTTGTATCTGGCAAAAGTTTATTGTTCCTTTCATCCCTTTTCTCAGCATTCCCTGCTCCTACAGCGCTGCTCACCACTGAGCACCATCACAAGTCACTTTGATATTTGCCTCATTTGGGATTTATTCTGCTCTTTACAGTTTTACCCAGCCTCCATCTCCAAGCAACTTCTAAACTTTAAGGTTATGTGGCATTCAAACTCGCATTAGAATTCAAGTTCAGCCTGATGAGGTCCTGAACCAACTATCAGACTCTCTTATTTGATTTCACATATTGCTTCGGAGAACAGGCAAAGAAATGTTTATCTTTGTTTTCTCACTTTGTTTCTTGTAACAAATGCTCCAGTACTCTACCTTCTGCTTTCATTTTGTCAGTATCCATTTTAAAAATAATTTTGTAATGTCCTCCTAGAGATCCAGAGTGTAAAAAATGAGTCCCAAAATGTTCAATAAATCTTCGGTAGGTGTTGTAATCATAGACAACAGGGAGGTTGGCGAGTTCCTTCCAGAATGGCTCCGCAAGAGTGAGAAAGTCTGGGCGGTTGTTAATAAACTGAGCAACTTCCACAGTGTTCTCAATAACCAACAGCTGCTGACTCTGATGGGAGGAAAAGAAATCAGTCATGCGGCCACTTCACTACTAGCTAAGTGACATACATATTATTTTAGCTACTATACTAACGCTCTGTTACTATACTACTATTAGCTACTATACTAACAACTATAGTGTTGTGTCTAAGCAGACTGTAGTCTAAGCTAAGACTATAGTCGTGTCTAAGCAGCTCAGGGAACATGAAAAAAATATTCTGAGGAGAGGAAGTATCTTTTGGGCTTTGATTTTAATTGCTGCGTCGTCTTTCTTTTCTTCCTGTGTACAGAAAACTAGCACAAAGACAAAGGAGTAATGAAAATATCACTATTCACTAATGTTACTGTATCACCAATGGTGGTTTCCAGCTTTCCAGCACTGGCAACATGGCAGCATAGGGTTAACAAACCTTATTGAAAGCAAATTCGAGGAACTAGGGAGATTTTCTTCTCACTCTGATTCGTGTAGAGGAGCCTTTATTTGTTAAGGTGCTCTAGCCATTTTGAGGATGCTGCTGAATTTTAAAATGCTACGTACCCACACAAGAATGGTCACCTCTGCTTCTCAATGTTGCTTTCAAGCTTTGTAATGATAAATCTCAATGTATGTCATTGTTAGTGTGGTAACATGAGCTTATCTTCTGTCAGCTTGGAAAACATCAAATATATGTAATCGTTACTTGCTTTTATTTACTCTAAGATTAAGGTTTTACCTCTTAATTGAGAATTATTCTCAAATTATTTATTTAACCTTTGTTTTTAAATAAGTCAAAGGCGTAAGCACTGTGGCTTACTGGCTGCCTAAGATACTGCTTATCTTTCTTAATTTCCTACTAGTGGGAAATGAAATCTGTGATTAAAACTAATTTTGTTTTGTTGAATTCTTTCACTCTAAGATACTGACAAAGGCATTATTAGAAAGTGTGTTAAACTGTTAGAAAAAAGTGGAAAAATTTAATCAATTTTGAGAAGAAGCTGATGTTTTTCTTTCTTAAACAGGGGAAAAGCCGTTAGTAAATAAATAGATTACTAATGAAGAGGTAAAATGGAAAAAGCAACAATAGCAGCAAACCCAGCTTAACTGATAAGCCAGACCAGTGATGTTTTTGTAAAAGTTTAGTGGGAGCTTTCTTTTACGGACTGGTGCCAAAAATATCTGAATAAAATAAATATTTGCATCTCACTATAAAAAATAATAACTAGAACGTTTATGCAATATGCTAAGCCATACTGACACTTTATACATACCTTTTGACTGTTTTGCAGATTTTTTTTCTGTGAAAAATTGTGTCCGCTGTTTGATTTTTCACGCCCCTCTGAGTGCTTCATGTAAGACCAGCTACTGTTGAAAAACTCATAACTAAAATCATTCTGAATTTTAACCTAGAAGATGGAAAATACAATTCTATGTAAAGAGCTTTATGAAGGGTATTAAAACCAATAACATGATGTATAGCAACTACTTCCTGACGCAAAAACCTTATGATTTCTTCAGGCTGAATGCATTTCAGATGATGTGTAAACACTAAAAGAAGTGAACACTGGAGCAATCAATTGGCTAAAAGGAGTATTACTTGTATATATTTATATATATATAAAAAGTAAAGTAATATGACACATTAGGGTTGCTTGGCATGCTTTTGATAAGGGGGAGAAATAAATATAAATAGAAATATATATAATATCTCTCTGGAAGATCTCCGTGAAGCATCCCAAAGCGATATGCACAAAAATTTCTCAGGGTGATTCAGGCTGCTACTTGTCCTAAGGAGATGGCTTGGCATTCAGTCTCACTGTGAGAGAAGTTGAAATGACATCAGAGAAACGATGATTCTTTTTCCTTCCTTTATAGCACCATATCGACCAGTTAGTATTTAAAAATAATAAATAAAATGCCATACTCTCTTGACATGAACTGACAGAACTTTATCATGTGGTGACATATGGCCCTCAACACTGCTGTTGCACTGAAACCTTTTGCTACTGCTGTTTGTTTGCTATGTGTTCAGGAGACAGCTCTGTCCGGTGGCATGGGATCCTTCTCTCAGTTCATGATGGAAGAGCTGCAAGTGGAACTAATAGACTGGAGAGAGGGTACAGGCTTCATTCATCTATGTTTAAGGAAACCTATTTGTCAAGAGACCTTACCTGTTTTACATCCTTCTGCCTGTTTTAATCATGACTCTAAAGATAAAGCTGTGGTTAGTGGAAACATACTTGGAATGTATAAGCGAGAACGCTTTCACTCAGCCTGTAGTATTCTCTCCCGTCACCACTAAACACCGTCCTGCATTGTCCTCCAAAGCTTCTTGTATGAATCACTCTTCCCTTAGTCTCACCACTAATGGCATCAAAGCTACGAGAAGAAAAACATGAAATATCATTAAGACGCTCAGCTAGCAGAAACTTTTACAGGAGGTAAAAATTGCAAAACCATTATATCCACTGATAGACCCTCATATCTGCAGAACCGCACTTCATGTAACATGTCAGAATATGGAAAGCAAAATATTACCTTTAATTCGTCAACAAAAATGAGCATGTACCAATACCTGCTAATATTAAGCCATCCATGTCTACTGCAATAGATGCTATTAAGTTTTGTTTTTCCAGCAATTAATCCAACACAGAAACAACAGGGTGTCCCTTACCAAAATGTTTTTGTATTGTATTTGAACTATATCACATTCCAGATGATATGACTATCCTAAAGAAACTTAAGATAAATATTTTGTGAAGCTACAGATGGCATATATAAACAGAAATCCATATAGATTCACAGTACTAAATGCAACAACAATAAATAAAAAGACCCAGAATTGCTGCTATACATTTTTAAACTTGCTTTCCTACTGATCATTATATATTATTGGCTTATATATCTCTTTTAGAGAGATATATTTAAATAGCAGGACTGAAAGACAGAAAGCTTTAGTCTGTGCTTCAAATAAAAAGACCAAAGTCACAGCTACATTCTGGCTGCACTGAGCCACTGGCATGGTGGAAACAGTTGCATGGCATAGCCTGGTGCGTGCCTGCTTTTTGTTGGTGAAGGAGTAAAAGGCAATCTCAGCAAAAACAAAAAAGTGCAAAAATTAAACTCACGTTGAGTCTTTTTTGTTTTTTGCAATTTGCAGCCTTTCAAGCCTGCAGAAGTCAGATACACATAGCTGAAGGGAGACTGCTCCCCATAAAGACAGTATGGTACTGCTGTCATCAGTGTAGTACAGTCACATGCAGTTACAGTGGCAAGGCAGTTTTAATTTGCTTTTCTCTGCGTGTACACATTGCTGCCTTCTGTTAGGTGCAGCTTTGCATCATGAGCCATTTTTTGTAGCTCAGCTGCATGTTAGAGGACATCTTTCGACCACCGTAAAAATTAGATCTACTCTCATTAAAGCTAATTTTCATTCAGGGTAAGTATCTAAGGACCTGTTCTTTAGATAAGAATGTGCTGACATCGGAAGATTAAAACCATTCTTTTGCGTACGGGCGGTTTGACCAGAAGCACAAGAAGTCTATCTACACAGCCAGAGGTTCTCGGTACAACAAAAATGTAAATGTATTTAGCATCAGTACTAATGAGCTCTGCAGAGAACATTACCCTGTTCCTGTAAGTTCTGAATTTGGAGGTGTTTTATCATTATCACATACAGTCCTCTTCTCTTCACATTGATCTTCATCAGCACCATCTTCCTCACAATCCTGATCTCCATTGCACACAAGAGATCTGCTAATGCACTGACCTAAATTAAAAAAAAAGCACACAGAGAAAGGAGAAATGTTTGTCCATTTACAAATAAATCACCTAAAGTCAAAGCAAAAGTCACAGTTACTACCACATTAATTAGCTCATTCAATCCCACAGTGAACAGTCTGTGCCCCAGAGGGCTTGTGAAACAACAGTAGATATAGACATAAATAAATACTGCATATTTACACCTGAGGGAACTGCAGCCATTCCAGGCTTATCATACATTAATAAACCAGTTGACTTGTAAATTTATTTCCTATTTCTCTTGAAATTTCATCCTTTGACCATATCCTGTGCGACTGGGACTGTCTATCTGATAGCAGCAAAACATGTTCATCCTGTTGTTCCATGATAAACTTCTACCTGCTGAGGCAGTGTGCTCATTTGTGGTGGTCACAGAAGCTGTTTAGATACTAGCACTGTTTTGAGGAGCCTTAGTTTTCATGATGCAAGTAGTTTCCAAGATGTTTGGATATATCCTAAATACAGCTTTCGAGAATCACGTCTAAAGTTGCATTCTTTAATGACTCTCTCATAATGAAAAAACTGTGATCTGGGGCAAATTAGTGAGGCACAATGATTTAGGGAGGCTCACAGAACTACAGCATATTATTTGCAAAGCTTTGGAATACCCAAGATGAAATTAAAGACATTCATAGCCAAGGCTGAACAAAAGGAAACTTCCTGTTGAATCAAATGAATCTCTAGGTCAAGAGTTCTGGAAAGCGATTGCCCATTGACTAAATTTCAAGAATGACAAGGTCTTCTTAATTTTAAGGATGAGAAAATGACTAAAAACATCTTAATGGTACCTGAAAAACACCTGAACCGATCACCGCAGCCGTCCTCTGTTGGGCATCCTCGCGTGGGAGTGCATTGCCTTGTTTCAATGGCATCCCCAGAGCAGGGATTTCCCCCAAACTGGCCATAAACTGCTACTGTCCGTCTCCGAATCTGAATTCAAATCAAGCAAAATTCAAGCAAAATTCAAATCATGCAAATTCAAACCTCAGAATATCTAAATGCAAAGCAGAAATAGTTTACTACTGTCAAGACACTGCTACCACTCTTCTGTAAGGAGATGGAACAGTCACTATTTTTTTTCTGAGAACGACCACACTTCACACTACCACAATAGTGCAACAAAACCACGAGTTAATAGAAAGACAGCTATTTTATCTACAGGGTCTTCAGCCTGAGCCCTAAACTTGGCCGCTTTGTTGAAAAGTCTACTCTGAAACCAAGAGGAAGCTGCTGACAAATTTCTATTTTGTTTTATATTTTTAATAGGACCAATCATGCTCCAAACGGATTTGCCAAAAACTTTCAATGTAAACAATATCCTAAAGGAAAATGTTAAAAGCTAACATTACGTGAGCTATTTATTGCTTCTAAAACAATTCAAGTGAGTTCTCAGTTCAGATCTTTAATTTGGACTAATTCCTTCTTAATTCATGCAACATCAATGGAAACAAGATGGAAAGTGAGAAGCAAAAGTGACTTCAACGTGAATAGAGTTGCACTGTCAAAATCATCAGCTTGTTTTTATTGGGGATACTATTATGCAACAAAACTTTATTTTCTTGGCACATTCCTCTTCTAATGAAAAATCAGTGTAGGTGGTACAAATCAATCAGTGGCAGCTGAGGAACTGTCTCAGTTAACTAAACAGTTTGGTAGAGCTTTTTGGAAGTATCACCAAAATAAAAACTGCTTTCAAAGGGACATGGAGAGGAAAGGCTGGAGGACTTCCCTTCTCTAGAGACCAGCTACCTTCTCATTTTGCTGGGGAGAGGCACTTCAAGTGCTTTTGCCTATCCCTTGTCTTGATTTCTTCCTCAGCTCAGAATGGGCTCTTGTGACTTTTTATACTGAACATTACACAGCTGTAGACACAAAATCATCCAATTTGGGGTATAAAAGATACAGTGGCTCCTTAATCACTGGAATAAAAGCTTATGCTTGTGAAGTCATGTTTGCAGAAAAAGTGTGTCTGTCTATACCTGTTTTTTAGTACAGCCATCACATTCGGACCAAGGGCCAAAGGAATTCCAGCGGCAATGGACTGGCTGGGAAGCGCTGCTCCAGTAGTATTTTTTGCATTATTAGAAAAACAAAAGGGGAAAATTGTCAGGGATCTCCATCTATAAGCATTAGTGTAAAGCTTTCTGAAATAGCAAAGCAAACCTTCAATAAAGATACGGGGCATGACCAGACTCTCTCTGATCCACTGTGATTTGCTTTTCAAGTGTGAAAACAATATCAATTCCTAGTTAGCTTTTCAGTCACTGAGCAACAGAAAAAACTAGCCACATTCACCCTGTCCTGCAGGTCCACAGGCAGCTGTCAGAGTCCATGTATGCCGTGCTGTGTGCAAGAGCCCATTCACAGCAGCTCTCATAGAACGAGTTTGCAAATGGGAGGCACTCAGGCGATAATGGGGGATCGGGGCTAGCTTGGGGTAAGCTGTACTGTGCTTTGTAGTGTGCATTGCAGGTGTGCGTCACAGGCTCGCACACCACCGCTGTACGCACGCCACCTGAAGAGCGGCTGACTCTTCTGGATTATTCAGCGTGGATGGAGGTAGTGGACACCGTAACTCCTCACTCTTATTGCCCCCTATGGCAGTGGCAGTGCCAACATAGACCAGTGTTGTCTTCCAGGAAACATATCCGAAGACCCCATTAAGCCCTGCCCCATGTCATAACATATCTGAAGAATCCTGTAAGCCCTGCCCCATGTCATGCACTAGGAGAAGTTGTCTGTTAAACTAGACAAGCTTAGTCTTCAGTATATAGTTTTCTAAAGAAATGATCACCTGGAAAAAATGGGAATAAAACCTGAAACTTCCAGCAAGAGAAAAATCCTCAGCACCTGGAAAAGAGAAGCAAAAGCTTACTCTGTTTTTCTTTCCTTTAGACTGTGCAGCTGTTCTGACTTTCTGCACTCTTTACACTAGACAGCTTAACAAATAAAGGACAGGGTGTCACGCTAATAAGGTCTAATTCCTCAGCTTTTTTGTGCAAGCGGTTGGATTGTATTTTTCTCCTTCCTTGCAATACCGCCCAATTACATTTTCAGACAAGTATTTCTCTCTATAAATTAATATTTCATTGCACTTGGTGTATTTACTTCATCAGTACAATTTAAGTGAGCAATTGTCTTACCTCCATGTTAGATGAAACACTCAGATATCCAGCAATCACTGAGGAAAATGCACTTCCACTCAATTCAGCAGGGGAAGGAGTCAGTCAGTCTGTCTGCTTCCATATGTTTCTTCTCACTCTGCTTTGCTGGTATGCTTTTCCTTCTCCCAAAAGGCTAAATATTGTGGAGGAATTTTTATCTTAACCCCGTCTAATCCCCTCCAGGGACACAGTCTGCTCTTGGAGCTGCTCAGTGTTTTTAAGACATATAAATCAAGGCTTGGCTAGGCTGACTGGGGCTGGCATAAAGTTGTGGGAAGCGCTTACTGGAAGAACACTCCTCTTTTGCTTATCTTCTGTGTCACAGTTTCTTTCCTCTGAGCAAGACTTTTCAGAGATTCCAACCCAGAGCTGGTGTCCATTACCCTAGACCAGAGCTCAATCCTCAGCTTCAATGCAAAGTGTTGCTCTAGATTCAAGTTAGGGTTGCCAAGGTTAAATTCTGATCACAAATCTTCAGTCTGCACTTCTGCAGTTGTGCATCAGTTTTCACATTGAAAATCAGCTTAAGTATCTGAGTGAAAATGTTTGCCTTTTTTTCACATGGTCCTTCCACACAGCCCCCAGTTTCAACGAAACACCAACTCTTGGCTTTCTGTGGGGGTGCTTTTACAGAAGTAGATTCCTCTCACGTTCTCCTTTTCCCCATGCCACGTCCTCTTATTTTCTCTTTTGTCTTTCATTACTTTCCAGATTTCATCCATTCCAGTAACACCATCAAAATGCCACAACTGGGAAAATTTCCATTGAGTTGTACTAGCAGAGCCTGGATGAAGCCCTCACAGGAAAGCAACTCCCCTATCTGAAAACTGGTCAGTTACTACATCTACTTTGCACAATTTTGCACAGGCCTCAGAAAATCAAATACTTCATGTCACAGCATCACTCTGCAGTGACTTTAAAATGCTGCATTCTGTCGGCATGGCCTGCTTTCTTGGAGAAGATGCCTAGATTTTGAGTCTTATTACTGTGTCCACCTCAGGGATACCTGTGTCCATTCCTCAGAGGTTAGCAACCTCAGAGCCAATTTAGCTAAGAGCCTCTCTTTGGGACTTCTCAGGTTTAGGAACTATGAACCTCTTTGGAATGTGATTCATACTCTTTGATCACTTCTGTACATATTTTATTGCTTTTGACTGAAATCCTCATGGTGCTGTTCAGTTTGATGGCTGATTTATGCAACATTGCTAGTGGTCATTTGCCTGTGTAAGAAAGGATTAAAACCAAGTTAAGACACTTAACAGGCCCAGAATGTGTAAAGAATTCACATGGGAACTCTGAAGAACATTTTCTCTTTCCAGACATATGTCTTGATCTTGCAGCTAGCTGTTTTAATAGCTTAGGTAGCAATTTAAGTTTGTGTAAGTACATCATTAGCTATAATAACTCCCAAGGTAAGAATATGCCATAATTTACTCACAAACAGAACATGCAAATAAATACAAGAGAGGCCGAATACAACTAGCAAAGAACATGTGTTGGGTGTCTGCCTTTACTAAAGTCACTGATAGTAACTGTACCTTATTAAAATCAGTTAATATTGAGGGAACGCCTTCTTGCAAGAAGTATGACAGCAAGACAAAAACTGTAGCTTTTGTACAAGCTCCATACTTGTCCTTCTTGCATATTTTTTCAAATATCTTAGCCCGAAGACCTTATCTTCTTACATTTGGAAACAAGATCCTGCTTTTTTACTGTTCATGGCTCCAGTGGTAACAAAAGCAAAGAGACTGAACCTATACAATGTAAAATAGAGAGAGGTTAAAATTGGACTTGTGTCCCTCCTAGGACTGCAGTTCTATGGCTCCCATGGCACCTTACTCAGATGACTGAGCTCTGGTTTTAAGGGGCTACTCTTCAGTCTCCTCTACAACAACAGGACCGTGAATGGTTGCTTCTTCTTTCATTTCACAGGGTAGTTTCAGTAACTTTTTTCTACTTAGTGCTTAGGCTTGGGACCATTTAGATCAATTTCTTACTTTTGTATATTTTTGAAACATGAGTCTATTTATAGTTGCATGATCATCTATTTATGCTGAAACATCTTTGCAGTCAGGGAATAGGTAGCACCTAGCACTGTCCCAATCCATGACTAATCTCACAGGCACTTCCACAACAATATATGTTATTATAAGGGGCCTGATTGAGGTAGCTCTCCAATTACTTCCCCAGAGTGCACAGAAGTGAAGAAGGAACAGTGACTTACAGAAAACATACGGCTGATCTTCCCTTACTCTTAGTGAAAAGAGCAGTAATTCCTGCTCTACTAACCTTTTTGTAGTAAAAAATGCTTTATCATAGCAACTTAAAGTTACTGCTAAGCATTTCTACTGTCTATCCAGAAATTAATCCTCTTTAGACTCAGAAAGGAAGCTTTTGGGGAGCAAAAGATGAGTAGTTTGAGAAAGCCACAAAAGGTTAGCCATAAGGCAGGGTGTTTCTTGTCTTGCCCTAAATGATAATTCTAGCACAAGAATGATTAATGCAACGCTTCACTTGCTAGGCTAATGATATCCTGCCCGATCTGGAGACAGTATGAAATGCTGTTGTCTATATTTCACTACACACTAAGGTCAGCCAGGATATGATTATATCAGCGCTATTCCCTATAGACTTCCAGCCTTTTATAGGATTGATGCTAAGATTACTCAATAGTTTATCCGGCTTTAATAGTCTTGCATCTTTATTGTCCAAGTTCTTTATCTGTTATAGCCCTAAAGATAGTCTGTGCGCCGTGACTGCTGCAAATGCAAAGGATCCAGTGACAACTGAGTGGGGAAAGAACATCTTGTCATTATGATTTTAAATTGTAAAATTAACTTGGAGAGTTTTTTGCATTTGTTTCTGTTTGCCAATGCCATCTAACTTTTTTAAAGTGGCTTTAACTGCCTGTTTTGCTTTTAATGTAGCTGTCACATTTTAAGGACTAATGGCAATGCCTTGGGATGTGTCTCTATGGAATACGTCAAATAGAATTAACACTGTGCTAGCTGTAATACAAATGATTCTCTCTCAAGGGACCTCATGGAGGAATATTTCCTTAGCTACTGGAATACATATGTGCTGCAGAAACTACACGAAACAAACAAGGGCTATGACAACTCTAGTTTGAATGAACTAGGTTGGAAAAGAAGAGCTCATGCTATTCTAATTGAAAATACAGAGGGATTTAGTAGTATATAATTAAAACATCAGATCTGTCTAGAGCACAGACATTTCAGCCTGCGTGTGCACAAAGGTTATCACTGGACAAACAAATCATTATTATTCTTTAGAGCTAGATTCTGATCTTCTCATCACTTCACATGGTGAACTGATTTAGCAGCTGGAAATTGCCCTGCGTGGTGAGCTACTTCTGCTCTGTTCCACCTCTTCCCTGCTTTCACTTCCAATCCCCACTTAGGCGTTCCTCCTGCACACCTGGTGCTGACTTTGACACACTTCAATCCCCTCTGTGAGCTAATTAAATTTGTTACAATAACAGAAATAAATCCAGCAAAAAAAATGGGTAGTCTTCTGCTGTTTTAATCAGTTAGATCACCTAAGGTCTGGTGGGCAACAGAGTGAGGGAGGGGGTGCTAATGTACAGCCAGGGAGAAGAGAGAGGGGAGAAAAGATGTGGGAAGTGTGGGAAACCTTTCTTTCAGGAAAGATTTTTGTTTTCCAACCAATTCCAATTTTATTTCTTTTCCAAAGAGTCAGTATGCCCATAGACTGTTCATGCCAGGACTGTTGGAAGTATAACAGAATTGACATTGTTAGATATATTTAGATGGTCGAACCTGGGCTTCCTAGTTAGCAAATTTTGGCCATAATATCTTGGCTTAGATATAGCCTGTATCTAGCCCTGGTGTTTGACAGCTTGAATCAGATAAGTTTTTGTTTGAGAAAAAACCTGCTAGTACTGCTAAGCGTGTATCATCCATGTGTATGTGCCTGTACAGAAACATATACACATATAATTATGGTGACATTTGCTTTTCTTTTGTTCAATAATAAATCTTTCTGGTTTAATGTGCTTTAGAATAATCCTGAAAATGCAAGTCAGAGAGATATATATTACCCTAGGGGAGGAAGATTTTTAAAATACGAGTCCTTCAGAGCAAGGCAAGTTTGTAAGGTAGAGACCATAACATTTATTTGGTCAACCAGCATAATGGGAAAAGCACACAGTGTTTGAACATAGAAATTGTGAAGGCTTGACCTTTCTTTCCAAGCCTAAAAGTGATCAAATGTGTTTGTCTGTGAACACGACAGCCAGGCTGATTAGAGGTATAGTTATGTCCTTAGACTTAGACACCTCTTCTAAAATCATACTATTGTAGAAAAATGGCTGGGAAGAACCTGAGAAGGGCTATTGCCTGCCCCCCGTACAAGATCAGCTAAACCTAAACCAAACAAACATTTGTTCAGTCTCTTCTTAAAAACTCCAGAACTATCTGAAGAACTGTTAAGTCTCGTGCTTGGCAGTCCATACTGGTACAAAAGTTTTCCTAATGATTAATGTAAATATCCTTTGGTACAGTTTAAAAGGAATATGGTTAGAAGCTGGGTCTTTCAACCTGGAATGTGATACAAACTACAGCTCTGGACTGTGGTGGCTCGAACGCTTTTTAGCTGGTGAAGATCTCTAATGAAAATTTTGCTCTAGACATGTGCATGTGTTCATGGATAATGTAACAGAGGTTTCAGGCAACAGAATCAACCAAAACAAGAGCAGTATAGGTTGTTTGTTATTAAAATAATACTAACAAGACAAGAATATTTAGTTGTTATACAACTGAAAGCAGAAAAAATGGCCACGACTTTGTAAAGGACCTTGCAACTTTCTCCTATGCACTCGTTCTGGTGCTCAGCCCAAATCATCGCATAGCCACTTCTGCAAGCTTGAGGAGAGCCAGGAAAACCCCTTTGAGATTTACTGCAATGGTGAGACAATGCAGCATAACACTGTAATGTGTCTAAGCATTAGTAAAAAAGATAAAAAAGAAATCTAAGGAAGTTTCAAAATTCTATCCCTTTGTTACACTGCGTAACAAATTTATATCAGGTTTGTAGTTACCTCTGCTGTGCAGCAGAGACAAACCTCAACAGTTTTGTGCTGCCCCTATTCCTCTGTCAAGACAGAACAACTAAAAGATTTTAATGAGGTTTCTGGTGGGGAAAGACCTGTGATTGCCCCGCCAGCTATCGCCTATGTAAAGGTTCCCCCTTACTCCAGACGGAGCTTTTGCATGTGAAATAATGCAGCTAAGTGAGTGGGAGTTCTTGCTCCTGCTGTGTTTATTTGTGATGGCATATTAAGCAGTCTTGCTTCAGCCATCATCTACAGGCTATTAGTTTTACTGTTTGAGCGCTGGAGAGTGGTTTGAAGACAGCTGTCTGGTCTTTCTGTCCAACTGGTTAGCAATAAGAAAAAATATATTGCTCTCTTAATGCAACTTCTATATGAGCACTGTTGTAATTGCAGAAGGGATGTTATATGATTACCAGTAGGAGGCTAGTCACGCCATGATGGATGAGTGTTTCTGAATATTTCTTTCTAATTCAGTATTGAGAACAAACACTTGGAGAACCTCTTGCATACGAGTTCTAATAATTGATTTGTATCACCGAACTCTGGCATTCATTTCTGTATGCTACATGTGAGGTCATTTCCTGTGTTGTTTTTCACGGAAGACTAAGAGTCTGACTGCATGGAAATAACATACAGTAGTGAGGGATGGTTACAGGAAGCAACAGCATCAAATGTATTTTATATTCTTTGTATCAGCTTTGCTACACAAAGCCTTTTAGATCATTTTTTGATCATTTACACTATATTTGAATAAGCAGTTCACTGTCAAACAGTGATAGCTGTTTAATTTTCGTCTACCCACTTTCATTTTAAACAAACAGAAACTCTTTTGTATTATATTCATTAGTTTCTTAGCAGGATGCAACAGCCTTTTCCATAAGCATTGCTGTTTGCTCATATTTTCTGTTAGTGTCATAGAGATTTAAGAACTTTGTACAAATAATATTATTTTCAATTTATTGACCTAATTTACTGTTACTATTTAGAGAGCTTTTCCTCGGTTGTTTAGGAGAAAGGTTTTAGTTGAACTATACTGTCATCTTGTGGTGAACCAATGTTCCTGGTTCAAATTCACAGATGAACGTTTTCTTTTCAAAACCAAGCATCGGGATTCCATAGAAATAAATGTATGTTTTCAAAAGAGACACATTTTTGTGAGTGCTTTGTAACAGATATTAAAAGTGGTTTATTCCCAAAAAATTCCCGAGAGGTGTCTACCTCTGAAAATCAAGATGATATCCAGAAACAAAGGCATCCAGATTGAACCTCATGAAAATGTTGCCCTGGAATTCTTCAGCTCTCCCGCAGACCTCCTGAGACCTTGTTACCGAGGTCAAACTGTTCAGTTCCCTGGAAGAGCTAAAAAGCATTCCTTTGATCGAAGAGAAGACATTTATAAATAACGACTTCAGCTTGTTTGCATCTTTCTCAAGAAAATTGGGTACCAAACATCTGTTAGCTTCTAGCATTTATCAGGCTGGAGTCCTGACTGATTCTGTCCCTTGTAGTCATCCCCACTTGTGCACTCTACCTGTGCACAGGTGTGCACACTTGTGTGATGCAATTCCATATGATGACATCAGCCAGAAGCTGTTTGGATATCATTCTTTTATTTGCCACACAAAAGTCACAAAAGTCCTTTCAGTAGTCTTCAAGTTACACAGACCCAGTACAACTACTCTGCCTTGGAGCAAGTCCCCCCACATCGGGGACCATGTGGCTGTAAAGTACCCTAGCGACGGTGCTATATAGTAGCATGATAACCAACCTATCCAAAACAAATGCCACTAAAGTTATTAGATGCTGATATCCACCTCACTTTGTACTGCCTAGCCAGCCCTGTTTTCAGTTGCCCTGTCTAAGAGCTGGAATTATCTATAAGGCTGCCTTGCTTCAGCTGCAGGGAGGGACTGGGAGTGGGTGATTCTCCTCCTCTTACTCAGCAAAGCGCCGGGGATGAGAAATGAGGTCAGGAGGGTCTCTGGGTCCTGCATGGGTTCGGGGTTCAGGCAGAGAGGCTAGTACCCCAGAGGGATAGAAGAAGAAAAGGAGGGGCATGTACAGTATTACTTTTTGGTTCAGCTTTGCCCCCACAACCAGATCAGACAGCTTGCAGAACATGGTGTTAGGGGTACAGAGATAGAAATCCCCTTCCACAGTACTCATTAAACCTCTCTCATCACTAGAGCTGGCTGGACTGAAGAGCTGTGCCGAAGCTGTAGTGGAACAGTGAGCCCCAGCGCAGTCACAGAGTGCTGTTCCTTACACCGGGGAGACAATCCTGAAATCCAGGCATGTTGCCTTCTAAATTATTTGGGCTACTTCCTTATTACATAAAAGGAGAAAAGTGAAACAGCCAGTGCTGAATTTAGCCTCGTGCCACTTGGTAGCTGTTAGTACATGAGTCTGTGGGGTTTGATCGGGCAGTGAACTGCACCCTCACCCACCTCCTGTGTGAGGGCTAAGAGCTTCTGGGATGGTACTGCGTCAGCTGCAGCTCTGCCATTCCCTACGCTATAAGTTTCCAGTGTTCCTGAATAGTAAAGAATATGAGAAGACACCAAAAAAATCTCTTTCCTAACAGGTTTGAAAACATGTAAATGAACAGGACTATTTTTATCCTCCACAGGACTATAATAATTCCTTTGGCAGTGAATCCTTGCAAGCACACATACCAACATACTTCTTTTGGAGGCAGTTGCCATGGCATTTGTCCAACGTCTTCACAGGATCTTCCAGACTTCTGAACTCTAACTAGAAAGAAAGGGGAAAGCAGGCACTTGTTAACAGACAAACAGCACGGTTGCTTGGAGAAATAAGACCCAGTCTTGCCTGAAGAAGGTATTCATACTGTTTGACTTAATTGGGATTCTTCTTCTGCATGGCATCTCATCCACAGGCCATCGAGCTTTCTCTTTCGAATTTTTTGTCAAGAAAGATTGATTGCTATAAAAATATTTCATTAAGTCGGTGAAGGAAAATTCATTTTACCTAACTTCAGCCATCTAGCCTAAGGGGGCTGCCTCGGCTCCCGTTAGAATTAATGGAAGAAGGTGGGTTCCTCCCAAGGTTTATTTATCCAGCCTACTTTAAATACCTACTTTAGGATGGGATAAAGTGTCTCTTTCTCTCCTTTGACTAGAGAAGGCCCATGGATGGATGGCTTATACTAGATTCCTAGATTTTCAAAAGAAGTACAATGAGTGTGAGCAAAGATCTCTGCCTTAGGTTTGATTCTGGGAGGGAGGTGCCAATTAAAACGAAAGAGCTAAGTGAACAGCCTGGGTCACATTTTTGTGTGTCTGGAAACAATGCTTGCAAAAGTCAAAATGGCTTTTTGTCCCATCCCTCAACCTTAGCAGAAATCAAAAGCCTCCTAGCACATAAACCAGCGCACCATGAATGCAATGAGAGGCCACATTCAGGAAACAAATGAAGATAAATTCCTACCGAATTACTGTACCACACTGATTTATCCAAGAGTAAATATGCAACAGTTCAGATTAGGCTTAATTGCTTTAGAGATTTTGTCATGTGATGACACCTTTTTTTGGATGAAGAATTCCATGGTACATGGGTTAAACTGTCTGCATGTTCGTTGCAGGTTTCCTCACAGTTTGCTGGGTTGTGGCAAGCCCAGATAACAACTGTACTTTTAGCCAGCTTGATTAAGCCAGAAGTACAGGGAGTAAGATCCAGCCTGCTAGATAAATACATAGTTTTATCACGAGCTGTTAAACAACTCACATAAATCAACAATCAACTTTAAATCAAGTGGCTTTATCATCAATGTCTGACTTTACTTTAGAAGAGGAAATGCTAAACTGGTGATAAGGTAAATAAAAATGTCTTCTAGTTCTCTTTGTATACATCTATATCCCCCAAATTAACTCCTATAAGAGAAATTTAAATGGTGTATCTGGATTAAATTGATTGATTGATTGATTGATTGATTTATACATTAATGATGTCCATTAAAATGCTTTAGATTGTAGTTGAACTGCTGTGTGATGTGCAGGGGGAAGGGGAGGGCCATGGACAAGCAGAGACTGCAGTAGGGCCTTTTTTTTAATGGCAGTTCCACTTTGAAAGTACATGATATTGCAGGCAAGAAATTCTGTGAATTCTAATCATGAACACAGTTTTCTCTGAACATTTAAATACAGCCAGGACTTGATTCTGCAGCCTAAAGTGGAGCTTTGTGAACAGATGCATGGGGAGTATTTCAAAGGCCACACATTGAATACAGTCAAAAATTGTGGGTGAGTAAAGCCACTTTAGAGAATTAAACATTTTACCAGCTACATTTATCTACATACAGATATACCCTATTTGTTATTTTCAGGACTAGTTGCTGATGATACAAAACTAGGAGGGGTGGCTGACACACCAGAAGGCTGTGCTGCCCTTCAGAGGGACCTGGACAGGCTGGAGAGATGAGCAGAGGGAAACTTCATGAAGTTCAACAAAGGCAAGTGCAGGGTCCTGCACCTAGGGAGCAACAACCAGTACAGGCTGGGGGTTGACCTGCTGGAAAGCAGCTCTGCAGAGAAGGACCTGGGAGTGCTGGTGGACAACAAGGTGACCATGAGCCAGCAATGTGCCCCTGTGGCCAAGAAGGCCAATGGTCTCCTGGGATGCATTAGGCAGAGTGTTGCCAGCAGGTGGAGGGAGGTGATCCTGCCCCTCTCCTCAGCCCTGGTGAGACCACATCTGGAGTACTGTGTCCAGTTGTGGGCTCCCCAGGACAAGAGAGACATGGCACTCCTGGAGAGAGTCCAGCGGAGGGCTCCAAAGATGATGAGGGGACGGGAGCATCTCTCCTATGAGGAAAGGCTGAGAGAGCTGGGCCTGCTCAGGCTGGAGAAGGCTCGGGAGGATCTGACCAGTGTGTAAATACCAGACGGGAGGGTGTCAAGAGGACGAGGCCAGACTCTTCTCCGTGGTGCCCAACGACATGACGATGGGCAAAAAAAACTGAAACGAGGGAACTTTCAGGAGCACACAAGAAAACACTTCTCCACCGTGGGGGGCGGTGGTCAGACACCGGAGCAGGCTGCCAGCGAGCTGGGGAGCCTCCATCGGC